TTTTTTTTTATTTATATAATTAATAATTATAATAATAAATTACGTTTTTATATAAATATTTATTAATTTTTTAATTATAATTATTTTATATTAATATTTAAATTTATATAAAATAAATATAAATTAATAATATATATGTTTTATTTTCCGGTTAAATCGCTTATTATTAATTTTTTTATCTTTTATAAATATTATAATTAAAAATATTTATAATTAAAAATAATGTTTTTTAAATTTTTTTTCACTTAATTTACATAATCCGTTTTTTCCAACGCTATTATTTTATTATTTAATAATAAAAATCAAATTTATTTTATTAAAATTTTAAAAAAAAATAAAAATAAAAATTTTAAATAAGTTTTAAAAAAATTAAAATTAAATAAATTTCATAAACTTAAATTAAAATTAATTCCTATTAATAAAATAACTTTTAATTTTAAACAATTAAAATTTTAATTTAAATCATTTAATAATCGAATAAATTTAAATTTAATTATTAATAATATTTATTTTAAATTATAATAATATTTTATATAAAAAAAATAACTTATTTTTAATAATAATAACATAATTTTATCCATAATAAATTCATTTTTTAAAACATTTTAATAATATTTAATTTAATAAAATTAATTAATTAAAAAAAATAAAAATTTATATTCATTAAATTCCAATTAAAATAATATAATATTTAATTATATAAATTTCAATAATAATAATAATTATTTTAAAAATTATCTTTTTAAAAAATATTTTCGTTTTAATTTTATAATTAATAAAAAAATTATTAACTATCCTTTTAAATTTAATTATTTAAAATAATATAATAATTTAAAACATATTATTTTTCTTATTATTAAAAAAAATTCCGTAATAAAATTATTTATATTTATTTTAAATTTTAATAATAATAATAAAATATATATAACGAATAATAATAAATAATACATTTTAATAAAACGTCCGTTTACGTTTATTATAAATATTAATAATTATAAATATGAAAATTTTTTTTATTATTATAATAAAATATTTTTATTTTATATTTAAAATATATAAATATATAATAAAAAACGATAATAATAAAAAAAATATAAATTTAAAATAAAATAAATAAAACGTTTTACGATATAATTAATAAATTAATTTTATAATTAAAAAATTAAAATAAATTTTTTATTTAATTATTTAATATATATCGTAACTTTAATAAAAAATAAATATATATTTTTAAATAAAATTAATATATTTTAAAAATAAATAAATATATGTTTTTAAACGAAATAAATAAAAAACCGTTTTTAATATATAATATTAAATTTAAATTATTTATTATTTAAATTTAACGCGTTATAAATAATATAAATTAAAAAACGTTATAGTTTTTTATAATTTATAATATCCTTTAATATTATAACCCTTATAAATAATAAAATATAATATTAATAATTAAAACTTATTATATATTTATACAATATACATCGCAATACATAAAATGAATTGGCAGGTTAGCGGATTCAGTACTATCGTCCGCCGTCTGTTGGCCTGATTTCTGATTTTTGACTTAACTTTGAATAGATTTTTGAACTGACTTTTGTACGAGCTACTAATGGCGGAGTACCTGACTCGCCTGCGTGCGTCTAGGGTTCTATGGGGCCCATCCACAGGCGTTAAGATAAACAAAGTCAGAAAGGTCAACCAGGACACTACTTTTCCAATTGCACTTCCCGTGCATCCCAGCGTCGCCAAAGCCAGTGTGCCAGAGAAAATCCATCACCTCCTGCAATGACCATGACCTGAGAACCAACTTCTCCTGCGTAGCCGGGTCAAACCTGGGGGCTACAGTCGCATTTATACCTACATAGTGTGCTTGTATCCAGTCCCTAGTCCGGGAACTTGTTGGCTCAAGATGCCTGGGAGCCGTGTTGATTGCTATGGTAGGATCTGACATACGGCTGCAAATTAGACTAGAATCACATGAAACCACGATATTACAATGTATGACGCGCTAGAGACACTTGAGCACACCCTATTGTTCACATGCATCGTTCGCGATAGCAATATTGCGGTATAACCAGCTTAAGACCGTTCATGCTCCAAGTCGGGAGCTAGGATGCTATACGTACGGGGTATTCTCGAAGTATAAGTCTTCATGTCGAAGATATTCCGATGGTTAAGATACCCCTAAGAATATCACGCCGGAAGAATGATTATCTTGCGTTGTCGATATCGCGGAACGGCCGAGTTGAGGTTATACCCAAGTTCGACAATAGGAGATTAAACGAGATGTTCTCAAGGTTTGAGCCTTCATCTCGAGAATTTTTCGGAGGAAGGAAGATCTTACCTCCCAGTTCAGGTTGGTCTACTTGACCTATAGTATGGAGAAAAAACTCTGAAAGGCGGACCAATCCTCAAAGCCCATATACCAATACCCCAGGTCATTGCAGACAGGACTCGGACACGTCTATGATGCTGGGCAGCGATTCGATTCAGCCAAGCCTTCCGTCGAGCGAGTCCTACCAGGAAAGGCGATCCTTTTTTCTCTGGGCCTATGGGCCCTGAACGGCGACACATATTATATCAGCAACTCCTGCCTTCCACTGGACACCTGGCGTCAGCTAGAATATGGAAGCATCGTGCACAACACCTCGGGTGCCATGAAGTCGCGCAAGGAGAAGGGTTGCGTAATGCATGACCATTCTCCAGCCTATCTTCTAACTTTGGTGTCGACATGGGAGAGTTACAGGGAGCATACTATTTTAAGTATCAGGGAGAAAAATCAGGACAAGGAGGGGGCTACGACGATGGAGAGCCGGAATTACCACCTTCTAGTAGAGATGTCTCAATGACAAGAGAATGTTGTCTCAAATGGATCTGTCGGTCGCCGGCCCTCCTACTGAAGAACCTAGCTCGTCCTCCACGCTCAAGAGGATAACTGTTGACAGAGTGACGAAACGTAAGGGGAAGTACTACTACGATGACTACAAGGGTAAGGAAAAGTCTTCGGCCAAGAAAGATTGGCAAAAAGTAGAGGGTCGCTATGTATTGAAGGGAAATTTCCATGAATACTTCCATGATTACTTCGTTAGGAAACTCCCTTAGTCTCCTACTCTTTCCCATTCTTATTCATCTGCCCATGACAGTCTGAAGCACAGGGAAACAGAAACAAGAATATGCTTTTTTTAGCCTCGTATTTCCTTTCCTTTCGATTCTTCTTTTTGCACTCATTTATTTATTATGATTCCTCTGTCCGCCTTTTTCTTGAAATATATTTATGGTTAATGTACGCAGTTTTGCTTGGGTGGCTACTTAGGTAGTTTCTTGGTCTCGTTTGGTTGGGGATATGTTTGAGAAAGGATCCTGGAACACTGATTGAAATAGAAAAGCCCAAAATTACCTCTAGAGCACTCACTCTATACTTACTCTAGACAATTCTTCAGCCCTACCTCTGTGTCTGATGTCCGATTACCTGAACATTATTGTGTCCATGTGAGTTTTCGAAAAGTACAAGTATCCTGCGAAAAACAGACCTATTTACTACTGGTACTAGAATCTAGATCTCGATTTCATTTTCGTTCAATGGAATATTCTATGCTTCTGCCAAGGAGAGCTGCAGTCCACATCCATCTAAATTACCTAGGTAGTTCGTTTCGTCGGCAGCAATGATAACCAATGATGGACTGCGCATATATTGGGATTGCTTTAGTTCCACATGTAGGTATTTGTCATTCTTCACTCAAAGCCGTATACTCGGGATTGATAGGTATATACAGTCTCTTTGGAGCTGGGCTGTAATGTCGGATAGTTCTATGTATCCCCAGCTTCACCAAGTCTAACTGGCCATGTGGCTCGCCTCCTGTTCCCTGGTTTGCACGAAAGGTTAAAGCCGGCTATCAGAGACCGAATCACCGGAAAAAGAGAACCTATGATATTTCATTCGCCCCTGTCTTGAAAAGTTTCATTCAGATTTACCCGGCGCGGGCCTATAAGAAATATATTATATATTAGGCCGAGACTATTAGCCTCTTCGCGCTCAATCCTGAGAGGGATAATAACATGCCGTAACCTTTCTGGATATTCGATAAGTTGGGTGCCATCCAAGTTGATATTAATAGAATCTCAGCGCTTCGGCAGTTAATAAGCAAAGATAGGGGCTGGTTTCTGTCGCGTACCTTGAACTACATATAACCAAACATGCCCAACAACTGGTCACATCTAATGCACCTTCTGCTGACCATCCGAAAAAGTCAACAACATCGAGTTCCCGCAAAATGTTTTGGACTACTCTTCTCAGCCTTGCGGCTTTCGCCGACGCAGCACCCCAGTTTGGCGGCGGCGGTGGCATGACTATGCTGCGGTTCGGATGCCCTAACGTCGTTATTGACCGGCTCGACCCTCTTGTTAACCCCGGTGTGATCCCCTCTGCCCACGTCCACCAGATTGTAGGAGGAAATGGCTTCAACGCGTCGATGACGACTGGCGATGTTTCCTCAACTGCTACGTGCACAACTTGCCAATTCAGTTAGTCTTTCATCCCAGGATAGAGTATGTGTCATGTGCTTACTTGTACGTAGGCGAGGACTTCAGCAATTACTGGACGGCCAACCTCTACTTCAAGGCTAAGAATGGAACATACAAGCGTGTCCCACAACTTGGCCATGCGTAAGTACACATATCAAGCCTTCTTGCCTTTTGTTACTTACAATCTGTTCTTCCAGGCTACAATTCAACGACCAGTTCAGTACCCAGACTCAAGGTGGTATCCTAGTCTACTACGTCTCGGCCCAGCCAGGTCAAATTACTGCTTTCAAGCCGGTCAGTACAATACGCTCCAGAAATAAAATGCGAAGTAAGACTCTGGACAGCTCAACCAAGTTATGAGTTGACCCGAGTCGTAATGTGAGGAAGTGACACTAATCATCCGACCTAGGGCTTCCGCATGCTCTCTGGTGACCCAATGCTGCGAACAGCCAACGCAACCATGCAGAGACAAAACTGCTTCCGTTGCTACACTGGACCTAACTACGGAGGCGATGTTGGCGCTCCCTGCATGGACAACAAGTTTGTACCCCGCCTCAGAATTTGAAACACTCATGTTAACTTACTACAACTACAGCGTTGATACTCAAGCCCTTCCCACCAAGCCATGCCCAGGTGGTATTCGATCTAACATTCTCTTCCCAACGTAAGATCTCAAATATTTCTATTCTCTAAGAAATTACCTTGTGATACTAACGCGTTCTTTAGTTGCTGGGACGGCAAGAACCTCGACAGCCCCAACCACCAAGACCACGTCACATACCCGACCACTGGACCAGCCAACTTCCTCAGCTTAGGAGGCTCCTGCCCGGCGAGCCACCCTATCAGGATTCCGCAACTGATGTACGAAGTCGTGTGGGACACTACTAAGTTCAACGACCAGTCTGAGTGGCCTACTGATGGATCTCAACCTTTCTACCTGAGCACAGGTGACAACACTGGACTGGGCCAGCACGCCGACTACGTCTTCGGATGGAAGGACGACGCTCTCCAGCGCGCTATGGATACCTCTGGCTGCTTTGGTGCTCGATGCGCCGACCTGCTCACCCAGACCATCGACAACGCCAGACAATGCGCCGTACAGAAGGTCGTTGATGAGGACGAGGATGGATGTAAGTTAATTCGCTATTTGCTCAATCATGTAACATTACTAACAAGTACACAGGGCTTACTGAGCTCCCCGGTATCTCTATGCCCATGTAAAATCATCGACCTCGGTCCCATTAATGTGTTGTGATAGAGAGGATTCGCATTTGAGGATCAAAGACTGGTTCATTTAGCTTAGTCCATAGCGAGATAGCTTTTTTAGTCATTATTGAGAAATCTACCTACCTACCTAGTTAGGTTTTATTAGACCGTTAAGTTTATGCCTTCTATTCATATGCGCGTAGTATTGGCCTATCCGTCTATGTATAGGTATGTTTGTCCATGCTTTAATTTCCAATCCGTTTCTAGTCCCGTCTTAGTGTTTAAGAGGACCGAGAGTAAAAGGCTATCCAGGTAGGTGGGAAAGGGGGTCTGAGTGTAAGTACGTACCCAAGTACGTAAAACGGAAGCATGTAAATTTGATTTAGCAAACATCAGTAGTGCCTCATTGATCTCGATTCCTTAGAAGAAACGTAGCAGTTCCCAAGGGCCTTGTGTCATCCCGGCTGGGGGAAAATATCAAGCTTACTATCTTTTCCTTCGACTTCGTGACCTATAACCAAAGCAACGACAAAATGGAAAGTTTCGGGGTTGGACTTATGAAGACGTGCGGTCTGTATTTCTTTGACGAGTTTGTGAGACGGTAAGCCAAAAGAATACCCCCATTACTTGGATATAAACCCCGCATAGAACACGTAGAATACGCTCAATGGTGCCCTCTTGCTAACTAGGTGCTTAGGTAGATACCTAGGTAGGAATTAACAGTCTGTTTTTCATTGCTATGACGTGCCCCCTTTAACGAGAAGACAGAACTGTTAAATGCGATCTCCCTTGCTGCTAACGTTCTAAGTAGGTACCTATCTTGGAGCCAGCCACCCGACCGATCGCCTGGAGGGCTAGGGGAAGGGGGAACGAATTCTTTCGGACGCAATCAACAGTGAAAACACTATATTGGGAGCTCAAGGGAAGCCAGGGGTATTTGACCCCTGTTGATGATGATTATGGACTTAAGCAAATTTACTAAGGGTACCTGTTATTATGGTTTGATGTTTTCGGTTGTTCTCCTCTGGCTCTCAATATGAAGCCCCTTGGTTCTAGATGGTAACTTGGGAATTTTTCTTTAGGTAAGCTTGACATGTTTATTGTAAGGTACTTTGGTAGGTATTAGGGAGATAATTACCCAACGATCAGCGTTCCTAAGTAATCTTTAAATATTTAACAGGTGGTGATTCCTCAGATTTTCTCCCGCATTTTACAAGGTTGTTATTGTCGTTATGTCCTTAATTTAGTCCTTCCTTGAGGAATTGTACTTCTTAACTATCCAAATCTATAGAAGAGAGTTTACTATTGCTACGATGCATGAGGTACCCGCAGCGATTACTGGAGACGACTCTGATAACACTATAACAACGTAGGTATGTCTCTGCATCGCTTCATCTAAAAGTTATCATGTTATCTAGGTCGATATGTTAGGTAGAATAGGTAATGAAAGATACCCTATAGTTCCCTGTTAAACTGAGCTCCTTTTAGTTGATGTTCCTCCAAAGTTCTTGCCTGACTGCCGAAGACCGTCCGTATTTAGATGGAGGAAAGTATGAGATGTGGAGGATTCTAACTCAGACGACTCCCCGAAAGTTATAGATACTGTAATATCTTTGCGTATACCCTCCTGTGTGTGAGATAAATCACCCGTTAAACTTGCTCGATCCATCGTATGACCACTAGCCTCATTATACTGATAGCTGTTATTGCTATTTCTAGCTTCTGTAGCAGCAGCGTAATCATGAAAGCGTTCGAATGGCTTAGGATTGCTCGGGTTACTATCTCCTTGATTTCTTTTCTTCAAGTTATATGCGTTTACGTCAGTAGAAGGGTCACTTCCACTTCGTGTGAAGATTCTGGAGGGTTTCAAAATGGGTCTTAAAGTCGGTATTGAGACGGCTAAAAGGACAAAGTTGGCTTCAAGCCTGGGAGTATACGTAGATAAGTTAGCTTGATTTTATCTTAGGCTTATGAATCAAGGAGAGGGGTTAACTCGCGTCCACCAAATTGCTAGTTCGGCCATAGCATCTTAACTAAGAATCAGCCACATGGTCTTCCTTATGCAGAAAGTGGATGCTCACAAGTTGGATCATAAGTTTCGGCAAGGGAGCGAAGGTTGATAGTCTTGACCATAGATGCAATCATTGCGCTATAGAAACCATGGTAAGAATTTACATACTAAAGAGCATTTGATATGATGGATGGCTCACAAGATTCCTAATCCCATTATGCAGCTTAATGATAATTTCTGCTTGAACTCCATGTTCAAATTCCAAAATAGCGCGGTCGGGAAGAGTGCTAGAATCAGGTCTACTAAGCAGCATACAGCTAAGTTAGGTCAGCTTCAGGTTATAGAATCCTGTCTAGTATTATCGAAAAGGGGTACTCACAGCTTTGGAAATAGGCCGCGTATTGCTGAACTTCTCGAGGCCAGCAGCTAGGTCTGACACTTGGATCCCAATATCCATTGATTGGTCTACATTGAGAAAAGCTGATAATAACAGTCCCAATGTCCACTACAAATTGGATACATATAATCCCCCATAAGAAAAGTCGCTGCGCCTTCGTTGGCGGCATAAGACCAAGAAGCAAAAAAGCAAACGAGATTCGACCGAAGCCGGGTGACAAAATGGAAAAAAACTCGCATAAGTATACCCACTTGATGGCGTACATCTTACGCATAGGCTGTAATTCGAACGCTTCGATGTGCTGTCCCAGACCCCAAAAGGACGAAATTGTCAGAAATATGCTATTACATAGAGCAAGAAGCTGATATAGGTGTATCGGTTAACTTCTAAACGTCGGTATCAAATATGGCATAGGTTCTCACAAGAGTAAGGGCAATGATATAATCATCAATTGTAAACGATCGTATAATTCGTAGGCGCACATAGAACCGAGCAAGGACCACAGCCGTAGAGAGAGTAGCAAAGATCCATGAAACAGTGACCACGGCTGGTCCGAGATTGTCTGGCGACATTGAATAGGTGCACAATTTCGTACACTCGATACGCCCAAATTGTTTACAGATCTGAGGCTAAAGAAAGGTATCCCATGGATAAGAAAAACAAGAAAATGAGGGTGCCTATGAGGTAGATATTCAACACTAGACGATTCAATCTTTATTCACCCATTGGATTTTCCCGACATATTTGTAGTGCAACGCCTTTTGATTCGAGCCTATTCCTCCAGACGTTGATAGCGACCGATGGTTCGTAGACAAAAGCCTCGACCCCATTTCGATACCAGCGCTTTGACTATACCCCTGTCATACCTACTACCCAACTACCTACCTACCTTGGTAAGTAACTACCTAGTGACGAATTATGCGCAAACCAAGCAGCGCCTCAATCAAGGTCCGCCAAGGACGGATTAATATAAATTTCGAAGGAGGGAGCCAACAAGTTACACGAACAATCCCATCAATCCATCCTCAAAACATATTTCATTGCCTCTAAATAAGTAAGTACTCTCCCCTCCCCTCTCCTCTCCCTACCTAAGTAGGTATTCCATCTGTGCGTTAATCACGTAGGTATCCGTGATGACCTCAGACCCGGGTCAAATTACTGAGAAGCTTGAAAACGTGGTGATAAGGCTTTCCTTAAAAAATGACATCCACGTTACAAAAGAGGCGTTCCAACTGAGCAAACAAATGAAAGCAAGCTTAAAGAGCCAAAGGACGCGGCTGTGAACTTGGCATATTCGATACTCGCCTCCATCCCGGAACAAAGCGCATCAATTTTCCATGATTTATGTAATATAGCTATAACAACTTTTAACGCAAATATAAACGATTGAAGAATAATAGAGGGAACTACTTAATAAGGCAGATCCTAAAGTTATTAAATCCTGGTCGCCGTTACAGAAGGATGCTACGTAATGGAATTATGAAGGCAGTACTTGTTGAAATAGACGCAGGTTATGAGTATCATTGATGTAGATTAGAAGGTTAAGTTGCTAGAGGTAGGTACAGGTAGCTAGATAGTACATTATATACCTGTGGATACAGGGCGTAGACTCCCAGCCACCTAATATTCCAGCAGTACTTGATGCATAGACCACACTTGTCCTAGGTACGATGTAAGTAGGTACCTACTTGGGTATATTTAAAGCTTGCTTTAACATGGTATGTCCAATACGACATGTAGGCGTATCCAGCAGTACCTATTAGAAAATATGGACGTAGGAAAAAACATTTAAATAAAGCACTTCTTAAGTGTATCGTATAATATCTTTAGAACGCATGTGCTATGTGATATAGGAGCAGGAGTCGTAGTATAAGTATGGAAAAGGGGTTAAGGGGTAAAGGGGTAAAAGGGGGGAAGGGGGGGGCATCACGTGATCAGGGAATGGGTCCTAAACTTAATACTGACATCGTACTCTGATCGTTACCTAGGTAATAAGGTGCTGGTAATGAATAAAGCCCGAAGCTACGTAGAGAATTTCGTATCGAGGTCATTTCTTATAGCTTCGTTGGGCAGATCCCGCAACTTGTCTGTCTCTCCATCCCGTTACCACCACTTTCTTTATACTTTTCCACTGCTTGTCCCACCAACTGTGCTATTCGTAGAAGTCTCTCTTCGTGGAGTCTTCTGCCCATGATCTGGATGCCTGCTGGGGCCCCGTGGAATTTCTTAGCGTCATCTGCGGAGTCATATCAATCCCTATCAACCATACTATTGTTGGACCATACTTACAGAGACCCATGTTAACCTCATCTCGACCTGTTAATGGTTGAAAACTCGAATCAACTACATCCAAGTCTTCATTGGCAAATGTTACAGGGATAACTATTGAGGTGTAATCTAGAACATTAATAAAACAGTTATATCCTTTGAAGTATTAGCATTTTCAATTCACTTATTGAAAGTCCGCCTTGACTAGGTCAATTCTTCCACAAAGCAGTTAACGAAACTTACCGAAGTAGTAAGAACTGCCAGGAAGTATAGCCGCATATGGCGTGACTGCGAGTATCACTGCTTCTACGGGATGTCCTTATTATATAACCGTCAATTGACAGTCCATTATCCTTCAGGCTTGACTAACCATTGTCTGTTTCTGCTACTGTGGAATTCCAATAATTCATATATAATTCGCGATATCGTTTCATTCTGATGCAGAACATCTCATGGTCCCTCAATGACATTGATGGGCTAGGTTTCTTTCTTGGAAATAGGTGCTCGATCTCTGGAACTGGGGGCTCTCCGGAGAGCTCTAGGTTCTCCCAGACATCTATGCATCCATCGCCTCGAGCAATCGCAGTCTATTTTCATTTAACACATATTAAATTTGTCTAGAAATGCGAGGCTCGAGCGCTTACGTGAATATCAACGGCTTCGTCGGGTGATGGCTGCTTCCAAGGAATGAGCTCCAGAGTTGTTAGCTTTGAATCATGCTGTATCAATATTAAATATGATTCAAGGGGTAAATGTAGGACCGACCTTATGACCTCCCCTTTCCAACGCACTTTTGACCATTCGAAGCGCGCGAGCGATGGGTGGATGGGGCCTCACAACGCCATCGTGTTCCATGAAACCCAAGTTTAGGCGGGACGTATCATGGATTTCTTGTTCTAAAGCGCGCCTATATGGGATTGGTAGTGCGTACGGATCGTGTAGCGATGGCTGAACCGACATTAAAGACTCAAAGATGATACGAACTGCGGTAATGGAATGGCCAATGATCCCTATCACAGTTGGCATAACTTGTTGGCCCGAACCCTAACCTAGATATCAGATAATGCTCAGTGCCATGAATGTGGGAATTATACTGAATTTGCGACTCCTTTAAAAGGTAGTCGACCGGCAGATGGCTTCAAACTGAACAAGCCATTATAAGAAGCAGGCATAGACACGGAGCCGCCTAGAATTCGACCTTAGTATCCTCAATAGGAGTTGGTTCATGGAACTCACCTATATCAGTCCCAAACCCAATAGGACTTCCTCTTAGTGCCTGAAGAGCTCCCTCACCTAGGAATCCATAAGAATAACCGTTTATTACTATAGAAGACGATCAAGGTTTGGCCTTACCGCCCGATGACCCCCCGGCAGAGAGCAATGTGTTATGTGGATTCCACACGTAGCCGCTGATATGATTGTTCGTCTCAGGTGCCTATCAAGTTGTTAACTTTCTTTTACGACCTCGATCATCGATTGCACGAACCCAAAGACTAGTAACAAGTGATGTCTAGGTATATGGTTGGTTAGTTCTATGCACGTAAAGGTGGAGGGCTACTTGCCTTTCCAATAGGCACAGCGCCAAGACGAACCAGCTCACGGACCAATTCGCTCTCAAACATCTTCTCTTTTCCAGTCCCTTTTTCGCCTTCAAAGGTTCCAATCCATCCAACGTATCCCATTGTCGTCTCCATGCCCTTAACGTGGAACTGGTCTTTGAGTGTGATGGGAATTCCATGCAAAGGTCCAATGACCTTTTGATGATTATCGTAATACTCATCAAGCTTCTGAGCATGGGAAATCGCTTGATCAAAGCCTATCTCTAAGAGGTTTTGATTCTAAAGAGTGATATGTGAGTAAATATCTGGATATATACAAGTCGAACTAGAGGGCCCCTACGAGTTGGTGTGCGAATGCCGCCCTCTTGCAGAAAGCAGTTACAACCTGGGTGGATCTAAATGACCCATCAGATATACCTTTAGACAATTCTGGGACGTCCATCATTGTGAATCGTCGAGTTTCATCATCTAGAAGACCTTCAATAAATTCGCCCACGATTACTCGTCTATGTTTCACATTGTTCAGAACAGAATCTTCGAGTATCCATTCAGGTTTGATCTTTTCTAGTGTTTCCTTCCGCTTTTTCGCTGCAGTTTCCTGCCATTGACCCTGGGATACGAAAACACGCATTGGTCCTTTGGTTTTCAAAAGGGTGGTGGACTTGAGAGACAAGATAACTATGGCGATTGAAGATATGAAAATTAATGAGAAACTGTCTGCCGTCAAGTAACTGTCCATAAATGAGAATCATCTAATAGCGTTAAGGTTAGCATATTTCAAGTTCGTTTTATCTTGCTGGCTGAGGTGATCATTTAACCTACAAATCTACGTTACCTCAATGTAGATTAAAAAGGCACCTAGAAAGCCTTTTTCACCCGTGAATCTATCATAGTAGGTACTCATTTAAAAGTCATGCGATGTGGTACGGAAAATGCAATTAATTTTTATAAATTTGCATATTCCACTGGCCATTCGTTTCACCACAGTCATGACAGGCTGCAATGTGACAACCCATGATCTCTTAGTAAGGCTTGATACAAGTGTGGACGAATCCGAGTACCATTTTAAGATATACCCCAAATGATCTACAATATGTGTAACTTAGAGCGGTGAGTCAGGTCCAGTATGGTACCGCGTCAATTGAATATTAGGTAAACCAATCAGAATTAGTTGTTATTTCGGCCGGTCAAGCAGGCGGTGTAAAGGATTTCATCTAAGGCTACCTACATAATACCAAAGAAGGTTGGATAGGTAAGCAACGAGTATCATAGAACGTTTATGCAGATTTCCTAACACGAAGCAAAAAAGAAAAAAAAAAGGTTTTATTTACTACCTAGCTACCTGGCTAAATCAATACTACGCCTTTAATCTTGACCGATTCGGGTTGGACGAAGGAGGGGAAGGCTTAAAGAGGTACCTATCTAAATACTACCACAAAGCTAGATGACGAGTAATTTGAAGCCAATCGAAATAGTAAAACAATACTTATAATAGGAATCACATGAAGTACTTAGAGTATAGAAGGATTTCCTACTGGATGATGCAAGCTCTTCATCATGCGCTTCGGTTGGCAGTGTCGGGAAACGGAGCAATGAGAGTGTTGTTTTATCTTCATCGGTTCAAACGCAAGGGGTAGTCTTGTAGAAGCTGACATTGAGGCTATTCTGAGGCTTGATCCGGGGATACGGAATCAACCTTGAGGGACCGAGACTATGGTTCATATTTACGTATAAGTTATTCGAGCGACATCGTCGACGAAACACGGATGACTTGCTAGATTATGATATAAAAGCACAATGACCTGATATGATTCCTCCAGATTATTAACACCTATGGCAAATGCCATCATGTCTCAAAATACATCAAATATACAGCCAGGGTCAAGCGCACCCTACATTTCAATGGTTAACGGAAATGGTGAGTGCATTAAAGTGCAAGATTCCAAGAATCTACTAACCATGGAAGATGAGTGCCTAGAGACGTTCCAACCACTATCTGAGACACACATGTCGTCCCAGGAAATACAACTTAAACTATCAAGTTCCAACCAGAGCTTAGCCGGGACGCCACCGCCTCGGACGAGAACTATACACTCGACAGACCGGTCGGATACTAGAAGCAATGGAACAATACCTGCAAAGATTAGGTCGGAATCCCCTCAACCAGATTTACTTTTAGAAATTGGAGCATGGGCAAACGTCTCACAAGTCTCGTGTTCAGCCTCTTGACAAGTCTATTACCATCCTAGGTTTGATATGGAATTCGAGGTTTAACTAGGTAGACACTAGGAGGCCGGCACTTTTCATTCGTTTGGTTACCTAGGGTGGTGTTATCGAATTCTGCACCGTCAATTACTTCTCCTTTCTACCCTGCGATATTTTCGTTCTATGCAGTCTCAATATTATGGAGCAATCAAATCTAAATGTTATCCTCATCATTGATACTTGTATCTTGCAATACGGCCAATACTTCTCTCAAGCTTGGATGGAAGCTGTCCAATCCGATATCTTTGCTTTCTAAGTTTCCCAAAGCCTCGTTTGCCCATGTTAATTCAATACGCCACCATTGCAAAGCCGCGTCAATGGTCCTGTCCACGGTTACCTCAACTGACTGTTCAGTCAGATGCATTTCGGTTGGAATTATATAGCGTTAATCTATTTGCCTTCGCTACAAATTCCTCTGTCTCCCATCCATTACCTCCCCATTCTAGAGCATCACGGGTACAGCCCCATATAACCTCTCTCGCATAGAGAGGGACATGCCGCATTTAGGGAAAGTCGCTACTATGGTCGATCTGGTAGTTGTGCATAATGCTCCTGCGTAAGTTGCCTAGGCCCTCGAATACAGCATAGATGAATAACCCGAGTGTGAACACCATAGCGCTTTCTTGCTGTAACGGACCTAATTTTGCCCAAAGCCTATTCAGGTAGCTTCTTTCTTTTGGGCTCTCCGATCGTTGGCTTCGTGGGAAATGGTCTCTGCATGCGAATTCTTTGATGTGAGTCCACTCATCCAGGTTATAAATTACTTCTCCATCACTAGACTGGAGGTTCTCTAGGTAAGTTGAGAGAGGGGAGTATTTCGGGGGGGGAAAACCAATCGTAATGATTTCAACGCTGCTCGAAATTGCAGAGAATGGCATGGCCTTCAATCTTACGAAATGAGTAGCCAGCGGAGCTAGAGAAGAGAACGTTGTCAGGACGAAGATCAGAGTAGAATGTCCCACATCGCTCCCGGATGTGAAGCAGTGCAGACGCTACCTCAACACATATTCTCAGCCTTTGCTCTAGCGATAACGAAGGTAAGATTTTACGGACGGGTCCTCGAGGGTAATATGGCAAGATAAATCCAAACACACCAACTTTGCCACCAAAGTTAGATCGTTTCGTGACCAGTCGAATGGGTGCTGACATAATATTAGGATGCGGTAGATATCGCAGCAGGAATCATAACTCATTATAGAGATACTTCAGATGTTCGGTGTTTGATTTAAATATGAATTGCTGCCTTAATCCAACTACCTCTTCTACAAACCGTACAAGATTTATGTTCTCATGAATCTGGCGCACGTAACGAAGACAAGAGATGATGAGCGTGTTAACGTCCGAGGGACGTAAAAACTACCTAGGTGGTAAATACATAGTCGCGCACAACTAGCGCGTACGACGTCTGGAGTACCCTCCCTTAGGGAGGGCAGAGCCTCGCGAAGACGAGAGATATCGACCTCTTCGAGCCATCGTTCTTTGGGAATGTCGAGCCATAACTTTTGGAGTGTCGATATCGAAAAGGCCTCTCTTCCACAGTCGAATGCCGGTATCATAAGAAGCTCCATATCTTTAAGACTCGAGTTTATACTGGTGAAGACGAGTGGCGAACCAAATGGCAGTTTACGATAACGAGTCAGAAAGTATGGATCCCGGGCACATTGTTCATCCAGTGCTCGGCAGAGGTGGCGTGATATCCCCAGCCTAGCCAATGCCCGATTATCTTGCAAAGATACGCTAAGATTTGAATCCAAGTCTTGACGCAAGTAAGGTGGATATTGGAGTTGATCACAGATGAAACCATCAATGCGCAAAGGTTCGAGATCATTCAAGAGATTGAGGGGCACGATGAAGAACTGCGTTGCGCAGGCTGTTGCACCGTCAACCCCCCCATTTCGAATCAGAGGTGTCGAGGCTGTCGACACTATTCTTCGGGTTTAAACGGGATTCACTTCAGTCAACCGTGTTGCGCTTTGCTTTATGCTGACGGTAGTATCGCTTTAATTGTTCATGCTTGAGAACGAGGTATGGCCGAGAAAGAAAATCGGTCGCTACGCTACTGAGTTCCATGTCAACTTTGCGGTGTATACGTTTAGGAAATACGGGACGAGGTTTTGGTAGCTTGGTCCTTGCTTTCTGTGCCTACCTAAAGTACAACACCCGGTTGTATCATGAGAATGAGCAAGTTGCGTGTTCGGCGTCTGCGGGTCTGGAGATCGGACCGAATTGGTGGGTATGCCGATGGAAATCGCATTGGATTTGATATTTAGCTGAAAGAAAAGAGGCTTGGGATCGACGACGCCATCACTGTGTTCGGGATGTCCTGTGGGAGACAAGAGACGAAAATGGACATGCCTAGAATATTACTTACATAAATTGATGTCACATTCGGCACACGCGTATTAATTAGTATTGAAATAGTGCGCTTCCGTATCGGCCATGCCGTGCAGTGCGCGTATCCCCGTGGGGAGTACCGACCCAGGTACCAAGTATCCTTCGTCTGCATCTCTAGCAGTTCCCTGGTAGTTAGTCAATCGCCTTTAAAGAAGGCATCGTAATCAACTTCATATTTCGCGTTTTATGGATCATTTACTATCAATAATATAAACAATTTAAATCTAAAAGTCTTATGCTAAAGATCCGTCAATACCGGGACCCACCTCTCCGGCCGGTTCGAGGTAACTTTGAAGAGTTTCCCGGACGTCGAGGTCCATAAATTACGGCCCCATATGCTACACAAAATCGGCGCATCTTCCGGGATTAGGCGAATAGAAGTATCGCGAATCCTCGTCCGCCAACCAATGAAACTATGGTGAATTCCCAGGCCTTGACGCAGTTCGATCATAAAAACAATGGAAAACCAAAGAAATCCTCATATTAAGAGGATACCATGGGTGGCCACTAAACATCCAAGCCCGGTTATAATTGGTGACAGCATGGATGGCAATTTGACGAACAATGTACAGGACATAGAGCTTCCATATATCTCAGGTCTCCCTGGCAGTTCATCAGATAACTCCATACCCACCGAGATTCTCACCAGTTCCATCGTACCAAGGTCGCTGCTTCGTGATATATGGGCCAGTCCTTTACCCCAAATTGAAGACATATCCCACAAACCAAAAACAGAAACTCTGGGGGGCACGTCATCTTCGGTGGCTAACGGCTCTGCGGAAGGACCCGATATTCCATCCAATACTAATAACGGCCATAATATCAGCGCTGTAGCTCAGACCAACGACTTGGACGCTATTAATTCATATGGAATAGGCCAATACCAGAGCTCCGTTACAAATCATGTATCGATACCTTCAAACAGGTTGCTACTTGCCCCACGACAAGACAAAGGATCAGTGCTTGTTAATGCTGAAGAGCATATAACATGCGAGCGAGACACCAAACCTTCCGGGCCGATAAGTAAAGTGTGGAACGTTCCTCGTGTATGTATACTTCATAGGGGCTAAGCGAAGTGGTTAACTAAAGGAGAATCGGTAGAGAACGCGAAATCGAAAACGTCGATCAAACGATCACGAAAATGTTACTCCTCATTTAGATCAAGGTAGTCAAACAGGACGTCGCGGCGCACGATCCGGAAACCAGCCTCGTCTTCGAGGAGCATTTACAGATGATGCACTGCGGGGGATGACGGCTTGGACCAGAGAGCTTAAGTCATGTATTCGCTGTAGAATGCAGAGGAATAGGGTATTATTATGGCATTATTGTTGATTATAGAAGCCCTACTGACCGGCTTATAGTGCCGTCCTGACGACGGAAACCCAAGTGGACCATGCCTAACCTGCCTCGAGTTGTCTAGCCGCAAAATCTCTCAGTTGCCTTGCCTCAGGTGGATCATCACCGATGCATGCATATACCGCGAACAATCCGCTCCATATCAAGGCTTCACCAAAAGGTGGCAGTCAATGGATATAGTTGATATTCAGGATTGGGCCTCAGATGAGGTTAAAACAATCCACGTTTCCCAGGCTTTTCTCAATGCCCCCTATACTATCGAGGTGAGGGAATTCATTCCTCAGGAGGGAGACTTAATCGAGGAAAAGTGGACGGTTGATGGTGAGATAAAAAGACACCAAGTACCGCGATACGCTCTTGTGAATATGGAGAAACATGCGGAAGATCTTCTATCATTCATCAACAAGAACGTAGGGCTGTACATCATTGGAGCGGTTGACAAGGAGGATGATCTTATATGGCAGACTTATTACACTGCGTTCAAACACGCCAACGGAGCCAAGGTGAGTTTTTATTGATATCTAAACCATTCTAAAGTCATCATTGACCTTGCCATATACACATAGACAGTAGAAGAACGCGTTGTCCTACTGAATTTGTTTCGGCTTTGGGTAGCTCTATATAAAACCAGCAATATTCATCACATCTGCGGAGATGATAAGCTGGGATGTGAGCCCATAACCGATCCACAAAGTCCATGGTTTAATCTCGTCCCCATACCTGCTGTCATCATTGCCCAAAAAGAATGCATTATATATACGAAGATATTCCAGCCACTGAGCAAGAAGATCCTCCGCGATCTCCAGCATTTAGTACTATCCAATAAGCGGCAATATTGGTTGACAATCTATCTGACGATTTTCATCCTCATGCACAGTTGTGCCATGATCACTCGGCGCGATGAGGAAACAGCGAGACAATACAACCTAAAGGTTAGTTGACATTTACATATCAAGCTTGTTGTTTCTTACATACCTTCTAGGAACGATTCGCCAATCCAATTGGCATCTCCGCTCACCATATCGCCGCTCAAATCATGCTCGCCCATTTCAATTATATCAATTCCGGCTTTCGACCATTCCAAATTGTGCTCGAGCCTTTCGGTCCCGAGAAGCTAAAGGAAGCTGGCCATCTGACTGACGAACAAGCCGAATTTGTGCGCTCCACAGCGTTGTGGGTTAGGAATAATGGTACAAACCAATCACTCTCTACAGAGAAGTAGTATCTAACTCAGTCATAGATGGTCTGCTGCAGAAAATACGGGAAGATAATAATTCAGGTCATACCTACTATTGGATTTCCCAGATTTACCAAGAAATCTGGAAGCCGGGTCCAATAGGATAACTCTGCTACCACATACTCACAGTTTCTAAGTCATTGGGAGATAGGTAGGTAATTATTAAGCAACACTCCCACGGTAGGCGACTTATCGGGAACCCAAGTCGTGATAATATTTACCAAGGTCTGGACATGAGGGGCAAAGTCAACAGGGAATTTTCAGCACAACCTAAAAAGAAAAATCATGATAATCATAAAGTCATAGGTACCTAAATATATATTCCACGTATTGCGATGTCTTTCCTTCACCTTCTTGACATCCAACCTAGTGTCCAGAAAATTAGACTTAGATAAAAAGTTACTCCAAGAGAAAGAACAGGAGTCAAATAGGAAATCCTAAAGAAGCACTCATTACCTACTCAGGGTTTTCTGACTCTGGATTAGTCGCAGGATCCAGCAACACGCAGGATTATGCCATCCTTCTTAGGCGGCTCCAGATCCCAGAAAGACGTCCTCTCCTCGTCCTCGAAAACTCTCGCCCACGCAACTCGGAGGCAGCGCGGCAAACGCCAGCATTCCTTGTCGTTGTGAAGCCACAGCCTAACGAGGTGTCGGTAAGTGTCGCCGTCGTTACGAAAGGCCTCGCGCCTATGAAGGACAGCCATGTTGTTCACAAATCGTATATCCCCCTTTTCCATGGTTGTCTTGATCTCGAATTTCTTGGCGACGAAGTGCACTGCATCGAGCGCCTCGGCTTGCGCTTCTGTAAGGCCGGGAATCCCCGGTGTGCGAGGGTCGAAGGGTGGGTGTCCACAGAGTAGACGTCGGCCGAAGGACATGAGAATCTTGTCGTCGTAGTTATATAGGAGAGCCCGTTTGTAGTAAGGCGGGTCCCGGCTGAACCTGTAACATCGAGAGTCAAAGCTTAGTCTGGCTTTGCCCTAGATACGTTAGGCTAAGTATACTTACGTATCAAATGGCCAGTCTGGCTTAGCTAGAACGTGGATCAAATCCGGCCGTGTAGCAGCGAGTTCATTGTACACGGTCCAGGAAGAGGCTAGGATACTTCGACCTCCCTCAACTGCAAGGCTACGTGTGAATAGGCAAAGTGTATCCGTGACAGTGTCGGTATGAAATGGCTGATAAAAGTGAGTTTGGCGTATGTAAAAGTGATTGAATTGTATAAGGCTTACCTTGTCTTCGCCATACTGATCATCCACGTCATTACGCTTGATCACATGGACTTCAAAATGTAAGTATATTTCAATTACCTGGTCTTGGATGAAGGTGACTCACGGAGCATCGAACCTCTCTGGTCCTGCTTTCCACGGCGTTCAGCAATGTAGCTAGATATGCCAAGATAGACGATTGTGAGATCCTCCAAAGAGTACGCCTCTGGGTCAAGCCCTCGTACGATGGAGAATCCGCGTCCGCGGTATACGTCTTGGCAGATCTGGTCGAGGTGTGCACCGAGCTTAGGTAGAGGGAACGTCGCTTTTGTGATTGCCTCACCGTCCAGCCCCTGGTCTGACGTTATATCAGTAGGTAATAAATTTTAGAAGTTTCAGTATTGCTAAGTAGGGACCTACCTTTGAAATAAGCCAGGCCACTGTTTATTTCCTCCTTGTCCTCGCTAGTGAGATGATATATGTACTGTGACTCGTCTTTGAAGCTTGATTGGTCCCAGACAAGAGGCCCTTCTAGTTTCGTGGGCCAATCCTCCGGGACTTTGGTCTCGAGGTCCCCAGCCTGTCGACGAGCCGCCTCCCTAGCACGATACTTATCCTCGTCAATATCATAATGGATATCTGCGTATTTCGTTGGGATTGCTGGAGGTTCCGCCAACTTCAAGCCATCGATGTGAAATCGAGTTCGAAGCCCAGGAGAGTAGTATTCCTCCACTAAATCCGGGTTTCTGAAACTCCGGATATCAGTGGGAAACATGACATCTGCCGTAGGAGCCATAACTTCTAGAGGTGTCGATGATGGGATTTTGAATAGAACGAATAATAGGTAGGTAGGTTTGATTGAACTAGGTAGTCTTTTTCTTATCTCAAAAAGCGTGGAAAATTGAGAGTCGGTCACTAGGTAATCTTTGCAATCCTCATCCTCTTTTTATGCTTACTTGCTTAGAGGTATTATGAGGCTCAGTTGTGCAGTGCCACGCATAAATTCCATTTTCCACATATCCGCCATTCGCCATTGATAACAGATGAAGTCCCAAATGACGGTTGTACAAATGTAGGATGGGATAGACTATGCGAAGCCGTGGTTGGTCCTCGAAAAGGCTATAAATTAGGAAAGATGTATATTTGCTCTCTACCCACCTATCATTGAAGGATTCTCTACACCTCATGAGTGGGGTCGTGGAGAAGAAGCACGTTTGCTCGCCTCTTACAGGTCCGAACCTTTCCGCAGAGCCTCATTTTATTCATGATTTTCAGTTGTTCAGGCCATCGTACGTAGTAGAATAAGCAAGCCGGCAGCATCTCTCGCAATAAACTCAATGGCATGCTGGATGTGGGCGGCCGAAAATGGAAGTATTCAAAATCCATGACGAAAGGTAGCGAATTAACAAGTTCCTAGTTATTGCGAGATGTCATTCTGCAGAAACGACGACAGAATAACAAGGCTATTTCAGTTCAGAGAATGGTCGAGATCAGTGTTATCATGGCCAACATGACCAAGCTTACGCAACCATCGCCATCTCATGACATGATTCAGGTTGATGTCTACGTGGGGGTGATAGAATTTCATAAAGATGAATCTATTACGCCATTGATTCCATTGATAAAGCCAAGAAAGCGGCATTAGTCCATGTAGTATCTATCAGTTACTGAAGAGCCGCAAAGTGGACGTAGCTAACAAGCGACTAGATACGGTGCCTAGCAGTATCATCCCTCCGGCCGTCAGTGACAATGCAAATCTACCAGGTAGGTAGCAACTACCCCCTTAAGCAGATCACTTAATGGTAACTATGTGTTGATGTTTAATTATTAAAGCAGGTAAATGGGATCTATTCGAAGATACTTATTAGGTAGCATTTAGTCATGATGCCCGTCCTCTAATTATCTCTAAAGCTCTTGGATGTGCTTTTGACTAGGTAAGTTTTAAGTAGGATACTAGGAATCTTCATAAACAGCACAAATTGTTAGTTTCGAAGATTGAGAAATCCTACAGCTTTATATTAATGGCTAGGAAACTGGGTGGGTTGTCCAGGGAAGTTGAAACATCTTAATAGGTATCTTCCGTGGTTTTCATAGCAGTAGGAAAGAAGTAGCATCTGATTTAATGGTAACTACCTAGCGGGTTAAGTAATGAGTGTCAAAGGTAAAATATTAATGTGTTGATTAAGGGGTAGGCTCCGTCACTGAAGATACAAGCACCGCAGAAGAATATCATGGTCCAGGCATTGACTCGCCGTTCATGTTAAGAAGTGGCAAAATACACTTTTCTAGTTATTGTAGAATACAAACCAAAATATGCGAGCGACGATTTTTAGAGCATCCGCGAAATCAAGCAGGGACGATGTCTTTAAGTCCTGCTTTCTCCTGGAACGCCAAGTAGGTGTATATTTCTTGAAACTCGGTACAGGGCCTACTTGACGAAAGCCTGTACCTATCAAATAAGATCCTGAAGGAGAGACATAGAAGTTTATATAAGGAACATGGCTAGGTATTAGCCAATTTTATGCTGCAGAAGCCTCACGTATATAGGTACCTATGCACCACATAAAGTGTAGGCTACTTACGAGCAGTGAATGGGAAAATGGCATATCGAATTTACTACTATTGTAAGCCCCATAAACCAAGGTCTTAACATAAGTAGTAGGTAGGAACTATGGATTGACTCGTAAGTTATGGTTGTGAGGTGCGATGTTGCCCGGATGTAAGGTGGTGATATTAATGCGGATCCCTATTTAGGTACCTACCTACCTGTGGTTGAGGTGAATTTAAATTCATTGCCAGCTGGTCAGCCCCATAAGAGCCGCTAATGGTGATCTTGCCGTTCGGAAAGACCGTGGTCCGGAGCAAAGCCTACTCTTCACGTACCTACATCACAGCCTTTAAGCATGGCATATTGCTTGCACATATCGGGAAGAACCAACTAGTTTCAAGTTAACTTATAATTGGAATCAAGAAGGATAATAATCGGGATAATGTACGATTGAGAAACACGAATTAGACGTGTTGAATGCAACCTGAGGATGTTCTTCACGATTGTAACTGTCTGGGTATTTCCTGCATTTACTTTTTCGCATTTCAAGGCTTAGACTAGCCGCCGGAAATCAGAGCACTCATTGTCCCGCACGAGTCAGCAGGGAGGTTTCACATGGCTGACAGCCAGTCTGCAAGGGCCAATCCAACCGTGGTGGTCCCCCCCTTGTCAGAGTGTGATTCGCCTCTATGTGCGCACCAATCAATAAAGCAACCCACTGTGGCTCCTGGAGGCCAAGAATTGCGTCCGCTGTCGAAGCACTGGCCCCCACTTCATATTCCCATCGCCTTGCTCTTCTATGCCCAGCTTCATGGTCGTAAATTATTAATCTGTTAAGACCGTTGTCCTTCTGAAGATTTGCATATAGTAGGCGGATACCCTAAGCCTACATACTTGTTCGCTCGCTAGACCGAGCGGTAGCTGCAGCAGTCGGGCCGTCTTGGAGATCGTCGTTAGTACTCCGCAATGACAGACAGTGGAAGTACATGGATTTCCTCACTGCGACCTTCGAGGGACGTTGTGACCCCTAAGATCACCTAGAGTAGGAAATTTGTTGCGAAAAAGATTGAATTTTTGTCTCCTTCCTAACTGTGTGTCTCGTACGACCGCATGCCGCAGACTTAATATGGTAGAGGATTTACTGAATTTCCGAATCGGCGTAGGACCAAGCTTATGTCTGGTCCATGTGGCCAGCACCTGCGCATTATCCGATATTATTACATGCCAGCCAACCATCCATGCTACGTAACACACACACAGAAAAGAGCAGAGTCGAGAACTGAGCTGTGATTGGCTCGCAGTCGCTGTCTCAGAAGACCACAACGTGGCGATCTTAACGAACTACGATTCTTAAGAAAACAGGGAATTCTCTTCAACGGTATCATGGAAGGCTATGCCGCGGCCTTCAAAAACATGCCATGAAGGATTCATAGAGATACATATAACAAGCCAAGAACCGACAAGTATGCCGAGTATATCGAACATAGGTGCTTAGCACAAGAAGTGCTTGCCTAGGTACCTACCTACCCTTGCCGCCATGTTACATTTTGGTAGCCTACCTCCCAATCCACCTCACAAACGGACCAAGCCACATACTATGGGACTCCCCCACGGCGTTACTAGCATTAGTCCTACATATTTTAACCTTGAATAGTTCCCGCCCCCGTCGCTGTCGATCCCTTATCCGAGGTCCCGCATCCTTCGCTGACCGATTTAGCGCTTTAAAAGGAAAACATTGAGAAACAATAGTGAGAGCCTGCTCATTTCCAAAAGAAAAACCTTCCATATATGTACCAAGACATCAGGGGTCATCTATGAATAACTATTGTTTTATTTGCCATGTAGTGTAACGTCTGCTCTCATGCCATCTCAATTTATCTCGTAGTTGATCTCATCACAGCACTGCCTCCTCAGATGAACTAATGGGGCCAACTGCCGAGACTGAATCTTCAGTGGTTCGATCGCAAATCTGCGTTTTCGTAAGCGCTGTCTGAGGAAAGAGGCGTATGGCTGGCGTTGATCCACATCTTTATCTTATTATCCTGGAGAGAAACGCACGGGGCGCGCGCGAATCAAAGCCGTCTCACTTCCCCAGGCTTCTTCCAACTCCATCGACAATTATCTCATCACATACATACTGTATTGTCCCGGGAAACCCTAGGGCTTCTCAGCCCTGCCAATGTCCGACCCGCTATCGCCCTTTTGCGATATATCCTGAAGCCTGTCGTCGGACATCTTCACGGTGCGGCGCATCCCGGTGTCCTTCGCGATGCCGTCGGTTCTGCGCCGTGCCTCTGAGGGGGCAGCGCAATCCGCGCCGATGGGAATCGTCGTCACCCCCTCGAATTTGAACCCGATCCTACAGATGACGACTTGGTTACTTCTCGCGTTGACTTCACTTATGCTATGTTTTCGCTTCTTAACCAAGTTTTTCTTGAAAACGAATCAGCGGTTCGGATGGGAGGAAATAATGATCAGTGCCGCATTTGTACGTGAAAATATGGATATCTTCCGAGGATGATCGGTGAAGTTTCCTGTTGAACTAACACTGAGGCAACTAGCTCGCTGGCCTAGGTGAATCCGTCACGTTTCTCGTTCCCGAAGGTGAAATACTGGGCAAGGAACGACATGACATCTCCGACGATGAACTGACAGCGGGGCTCAAAGTATGCATTTGCCACCAAGTGGTTTCTTTCCCATGTCGGGACTAACTACGATCATCCAGGCTCAATACGCCGGAGAATTACTTTATATCCTTGCTCTTGGACTTGCGAAACTGTCGGTCTGCACGGGATTAGCTACATTATCGCCAGATACGAGTCATCGCCGCCTCACTTCCATATTTGTCATCGCGGTCGTAATTTGGTCGCTGGTAGCTTTCATCGGAACAGCTTTTCAATGTGGAGGTCACGGACCATGGGAACAGGGGGATATTAAGTGCCTGGATAAGGTAAGAGTTCACATCAAGGAGGAGATCAAGATCCGTTTGAGACCCAACACTGATCATCTGCTTAGCACGCATTTCTGGAATACGTGGGAATCACGAATATTTTAACGGACGCTGCATTAATTGCTCTTCCGACAACTGTTATATATCCTCTCAAGATGTCTGTCAGGACGAGAATCACCGTCCTGTCGTTCTTCTCCGTGCGAATATTGTATGTATCTTGAACATCTTTCTAGCAATAAACCCCTCCAGAACTGACAAGTTTAAAGGGCCATTGCAGCAATGATTTCCCAGCTCATCTATCTCCCCCGCCTCTTCGAAGACGACTTTACACTGCGAGGATTTCCGTATTGGTTGAGCATGCAGTTTGTGCAGTTCGCAAGCATATCGGCAGCCTGCGCTGCGTACTTTTGGCCCTTCCTCCGATCCCTGCGAAGCGGTCTTATCTCAGCCGACAACAAAGCCTTCACGTCCGAATACGCGCTATCTAAGCTTCGTGGATCAGCTCGGAACGGTGCGAATGTAGATATGGTGTCGGGTACCTCCTCCAAGAGCAGAGATCGAAGCAATTATATCAAGATTACTACCGATAACACGGTGACTACGAGTGAACGAGGCCAGGAACAAGGGAATAATCAACCTATTGGAAGCGAGGGTTATATGAAGGATTGGTGACGGCGGCAGGAAGCAGCAGTGTAGCATTCACCTCGAGCTAATCTACCTGAGCTTTCTGCGACTTTGAACCATCGGCCCCTACGATTAATCTCAGCGATACCAAGGGCATTAGAAATATCAACAGCGGCAGATATACATGACGAAGCCATAAATACACTGCTTCCTGTTCGGCCCACATGTTATTCGGACCAGAAAACATCTGCATAAAACATATCTTGGTTCGAAATAGGCAACCCGGATCCCGCAGCGTGTCACCGGGTGTTTGGTCACATTCGCCCAGGAAGCTATAAATCTCGGTATATCCAGAGACCGGACCAACACAACAGTAGCACCGTATCGCTTCTCCACTTCATCGAGGCTCCCTGAAAGAAGTCGGCAGAGCCACGTCTTATCAGGACCCGGAAACAAAGAGTAAATCGTGGAGTTGACTGGGGGGATCCTTGGTTGAAGATCTTAATCATGTAACAACAAATACGAACATATGCATCGACATCGGTAGACGATAGAGACCCAGGGTTTGAGGTTAAGTGATTATGTCTTAAAGTGGACTCGGGATCCTAGAAAATGTACGACTTTACGACGGGTAATGAGACATGGATTGCTTCTGAGTATTGTTCATACTTTGTGAAAAGGCCCAGATACCAAATGACTATGCCCTATTATTGGCCCCACGGGGTGACGATATTATTTTCTAGTTACTCATCACACTAGGAGATATATACGTCCTTGGGCTTCCTGATACACTGTAATCGTGTTTATCAGGTTTCTATACATTGCCTTATGAAAGAAAAGAATATTTTTACAGGGCGCAGAGCCTGTCTCATCTCACTGTTCTCAGCTACTCATATCAATTGGGATCCTTGTCATTTACCATCATTTTCATCGTCTCACGTTCTCAGTTCCTGAATTTGGACTCGTATAGTCCCAAAATGGCTGGGTTGAAACATATGAAGGCCTTCACTCATGATAATCAAGGATACTCTTGTTAATATTCGTCTCCCAGGAGAAACAAGTGAGCTAACAGTTTGACTTGCTATGCTCACACGATACTATGCACAATGGAATGAGATTATAAGACAAGGACGGCAAGTACCGATATAAAATCGAAGGAGATGACATCGTGTGTGAGATGGAATGGCCCAGATGGCTAGGCGCAGGGACAGCTTCCAAGCGAAGACACGAAAAATATAAATCGCCGTAATTGATTTTGCGAATTAGGTGAAAGGCGCCAGACTCTCTTATGAATTTGAAGGTATCTTGGTAGGGTATGTTTACACGGATCTCCTCTGAAAAGGGTACCTAGCCAGTTTCAATATTACGCCACTATCCTCGGCTTTCAGGGTATGATTCATCTTACGTGAGCACTTACGATTTCTTGCATTAATCAACCTTAAGCTACCTACACTGTGCATCCGACGTTCGGAGGCTTGCAGAAGCGGCTTTTCAGTTGTGTAACACCTTTCGGTACTCAACGGAGTCACTGAACGAAGTATAGCATGGCGTTCCTAAGAGTGTGGAAATGATGTCTTATATATAAAGACCAATAGAACAATAATATGCCAACCCTCAAATTCCAGTCGATTTCGGAATCTTGTCTTCGAACGATATCTGCAATAGATCCAACGCGCCCGTACCTTCCTACTCTGCAAGTATCACGAACATAAACATCCCTACTATCTTAACAAGCTCCATCCCCCATCATTATAGAAGAGCTACCAATTTCAATTGGCCCGCTACAAGGCGTCGCATAGAATTCAAATCACGGCTAGGGTAACCCAGAACCAGGCCTCCCAAGAGGTAAGATTGAAATATGCGATATCGTCGTCTCGCAATGCCGCCTTCAGCGTAAGTTTCTATCTTTGGTACCTGCCTCGGTATCGTCAGCCCTACAGAAGCAAACGACGAAGATACAGTTGTCGGCTAGATTAAGCCATTCAAATTTTGCATTTGATATGACTGAAAACTTAGATGGACAGGAAGTGATGTAAAGGCAGCCCGACCCGCATTCAGGGCTCAGGGGTTCAGGGGCTCGCCCTTATTACCAATGATGACTAAGCAAAATATCATAGGAGTTTTTTTGAAGGTGAATAAGTATTAGTATAAACATTTAGCTTGTCTCATATATAAAATTGAGCTACGGTACATTGCTATTTATATATGAGATATTGTGAAACTCTCGGGTTATCAGAGAGCGAAGATTATCACGGACATAATAATTGGAAACATGCGAACGTATTGGTAACTATTGGGTTGGTGTAACTTGTGTAGATTGATTGTTGTTCGAACTGATAGCAAATAGAATCCTCCATATTTATAAACATCGCACTACTAGTTCAGAGAAGGCGCGCACATGCTATTGTGATTCAATGGATGGGATGAGATATAAGAAGCACAATCGCCCATTTGAGTCACCTGCCTTTAGTGATCTTTAAAATGAAATGTTAGTAGACGCCCGTCATTTAATATAAATGTACCGTATCTTATCGACTCTAACCTTTATCCGATGTTCGTTTCTATCATATCAAGATATTTGACAGGTATGAAAAACCAGAAAGATTTGGAAAAATAGGTGGTACAATAGGCCTAGGCATGTACTTGAATACGAGCTAGAAAGCTGTTAGGTGAAGTAAGGTGGCCTTGCAGTTCGCCTCCCTACTCCATAGCTACACAAACGCGGTACTACGAGAATTTGTGCCTCCGTCACACTTATGAAGCGTTTTCGTCCAATGCCACGTTTTGTCTCCATATAATTACGAAAAATAACTCTCGAATATTTAGATTTGGAGAATGCCGGAGGTTTCCTAACTTCATCATCGAACGATAGTGGTAATAGCCCCTTCACATACTGAAATGAGGGCTGTAATAACCCGTGGAGACTGTGGTTAGCGGTCATCGCCGAATTTTATGTTCTATATCATAGCCATATGTTGTATGACACATGTCGTGTCTCTGACAATTGACCGATATTAGCTCGCTCTGAACGTGCGTAGAAGTAGAGCATACAATCCGGAATTGCCATCTATCTGAGAGTAGAAGTATCTTCCGTTCCGGCTGTACTTACCTAAGGAAGGCGCGCGGGTCTTGTTCCAGTCTTACTGTGTGGTTCCTCAGATGCATACTGTCAGAAGCTTCCTCCATGAGAGCTGGTAGTCAGAGGTATCGGGAGTCGGCCTGTACGAGGCCGCCCTGTTGGCAGCTAGCCCTTAGCTATAGACAAAGGAAGGTTCGTGTATGTATACCGCATTCCCTGGAAGGGGTTAGTTAGAGCTCTTCGCGCAACAGCGTCGTTCTTCCCTAGCTTCTTGGTTCCGCCTCGTGACACATACCTAGGAATGAGGGTATAGTGATTATCGAATCTCGGCTGTTTATTAGATACCTTAACAGATTAACAACATCATAATTTCGTAGTAAATGTATTGGAAACTTGTATCAGAGTTTCTGACATGGCTTATAAATAAACTTGGAAATGGTATACAATTAGATGACGAGCGACTGCTCCCAATTAAGAATCCTTGAGTAGCAACTTGCTGATAACTCCGTCCTTGAAACGGGTGATTTCCATGCTAATCTACGTCGGGAGACACAAGCTCTTCTTCATGTTCCTTAATCTTGACCTCTGTCTCCTTTTTATCCTGATTCTCCCCCGAATTCGGTGTAGCAACATTTTCTCCAGCTTCCTTAGAATCATCCCCAGGTTCTTCCTCTTTCTTGACGGGCTTAATCCGCATCTCTGTTCTTAAAAGTTCTACCTCAACTACCGGGACACCTTCCTTAACCTTTGATTTTAGATTGTCTTGGTCAACATCGAAATATAACGCCCAGAAATCTCCATCTTTAACCGCGAAGAAGCCTTCCCAACCAGCAAATGTTAGCCTGCGATCTTGTCGAGAACAGTCAAAGGGTCCAGGCCAATTGGGCTGTGCCCAGGGGCGTGTGCCAAATTTGAGTTCGTAAGTACTCCGATCAATATAGATCCAGTTCATGATAGGTGGCTCGTCGCAAATTGTTGACACAAGTCCAGAGTACTTCGTATCGGGGTACGGCAGAAAATAGCCTGTGAAGGGATGACCAAAGGCTTGATCATAATCATTTCCAGTGTCAATATAAAGCTGTATTGGACTTCTATTAGTTTACAGGTATCCAGTTTGAGGAGGGAATTCAAAAACACCGACCTTGTCCCCTGAAAGCACTACACGTCTCCCTTCAAGGCTCTGGCTATATTGGGAAGACTTAGGGCAGCGCACTATCAGGTGGTTCTTTCGGCTCCTATGTTCCTTTCTTTTGGAATCTGTCTGAATCTGTCGGATAGCTTCAGAGGTGCCGACGACGGCAGAGAAAGCAACGAGAAAGGTGAGGGGCTGGGACATAATTGCATTTCTGTAAAGGTGTTCCACGACGTCGATATGAGTTGAGTGAGAGAGGAGCTCTTATTTTCCTTCAAGCTTGCACATGTACTCATAGATAAACGACGAATTGCATCGTCTATGGTAGTAGAGCATCTGTACGCTGTGATACAATGGATCTCCCAATAATTTCCCGTCCGCTTCCATCTAAGGTGTTGATATTGAAAAACTAGTGTTCGGGAGTAACATTACCTAGTTGCGTATGCATTGCGCTCTAAGCTCAAGGTTGTGCCTTGCATCAAAAAAGACAGAAGCATGAGCATAGAGACAAACCACGGGCGCCTTCACATCATTTCGGACATTATTTCGGACCTTATTCTCCTTGCCTAGAGAGCATCTCTACCTAGCAATAGCCACTATAGAATGGTCTCGGCAGTGAACTGTCATGCATAGCAGGTGCCGAAGTGTAACTCGTCGAGTTTCCCTTCCAATTAATCGTACGATCAGTCGACATTCTCGGTCTTCTCCTTTTCCATGACGATCTAATGCAGCTATAGAAATTACGAATGCAGTCCTTGCTAACTAATTGCAAACACGTTAGGATCTTATGAGGTGCGAACGATTCTCGATATACGCGCTCGCACAATGGTTTTCCATACCTAGAACGTAACCGCGGATTGTCTAAAGGCACGGTAGTTTTGGCTAAAGGCACGGTAATCCACATTGATTATTTCTAACTCAGGTTAGTCTCATAGATACCTGACCTTATAATACAATGTTTATATAAATCTAAAGTATCTTTTCGATTTTATTATTATTAACACTTCGATCTACTTATTTATAATGTATTCGTTAACCGTTTTTAACTGTCTTTAATAGTTTTCTTATTAAGCTTCCTAGCTGCTATAATAGCAAGGTAATTAAAAAGCTGACGTTTTTTTTTTACAACGTTAATAATAATTATGTAAGTTAGAAAGGGTTATTAAAAGAAACAGCAAAATCAATGAAAAGACTTCTTTTAATACTTAGTAACGCATCGAGAAAATAGTTAAATTTATATAAACGTTACATTATAGATCGGGTATCCATAAGACTAGCCCGGGTTAGGAATAGTCAATATAGATTACCGTGCCTACTATAGCCAAAACCACCGTGCTCTTAGACAGTCCACGTAACCGGCATATCACCCATTAGGGTCCCACTACTAGACTTTCGCATCGTGGAAATATACATAGCTTGCTCATCATAAAGATGGATGAATTGCATAAAGAGCTCTGCCAGCCCCCTCATCATGAGCCCCTTCTTCGGAGATTCAGGCACTCAATACTCATACAAGAGACTCTCAGGTGCTCCAAGGAGACCATGGGCAGCTAGTGATTCTTCATCCATTGAAGTAGTGAACTCTTTCAAGCATCCGCGACCACCTACACCTCCACCAAGAACATCATCGTGGACTTTTTCACAGCGCATCCCCAAGCAAAGACATACCACCCCATCTGAATCGCCTAAGCATCGCTTAAGGAGAACATCAAAGTGGCCGTCCCTCAGGTCCCAAGTTGACTCTTCTCCGACCCAAGACCCTCACACGCTCATAGTTAAACTTAAAAAAATCATGTCTTCACCGTTAGTGTTATCTGCCCCTTTTATATGAATCGTTGACTGACACAGATAGGGGTGGTCCTACCGCCACCACTGGCGGAACTTCCTTAACTGGTCCTGACCGGGATCGGGACCGCCAGGCTACCACGACTGCGAAGCACAGCCTCCCCATGCCGGGCTTGTCCGGGAATGCCAATGGACCAATCGGTAAGTCCTCACCCTATCGACCTTGCTTTGAGACAACTTGTTAAGTCGTTATACTAACTCTAGCGGACCAGGTAACTTACTCAAGGGCCCTGTCGATGACAGTGGTAGGCTCAAGGATGCCGCTCTCTTGGTCGGGATCAAGCTTGATCTTGAGGCTGAAGTCCATGCCACGGCTAGGGTCCGCGGTGACATCGTGGTTGGGTTATATTGATACTCAATTTGGTGATGAGACACAGCTAGATGGTATTAGGGTTGGCTACCGAGTCACCAGTCATGGTATCGTATTCCACTACCTCTCGGGTTGTCAACATACTTCGATATCTGTGGCTGTGATTGTATTGCATATCTGGATTGATGGACCTGAGGGGTTCTGGATTGAAACTACTACATCACTCGCACTCTCGCTCATTTAGGACGGCATTGGGTTGAATCTCATCCCGAAGGCATACGCTGCTACAGCAACACTATCAGACATTCTTTTAATATGGATTATACTATCAGGAGACTATTTTTGGATTTGCAACTAAGCCACATAGTGAACTTCTCGGAAATGATGCAGTGACCTGAAAAGTAGATGCATTCACGACATTCTTGGGCCGAGCTTGGAAGGTCTTGGAGCTGTGGAAGAGGTTGAAGACTTAGATGTTAACTACTTCTTCGTTATGTTGGCGTACGTACCTAGTAAGCTGTCGTTTGGCTACCTGCCTACCTAGGTACCTAATAATTAATATTCCATCGTTTCTCGAAGACAACTCAATGTGGAGAATTTAAAGTATCAGACAGGGTGAATTAAACGACTATGTCCAACTGGAAAGTAGGGTTGGTCGGAGGAAGCCGAAGGAATTGAGAACAACATAAAGCAAGGCTAAATTTCAAAGAAAAAGATGCCCTTAAAGGTCAACATCCTACGAGTGAAAACGCGTCGACCTGGCTGATGAGTTGTTCGCAAGGTGTCATCTTGTCAGGGGCATAAGTGGAGAGGGAGAAGCAGGCGCTAGCCTGCGGCTAGCTAGCGGCTAGCCCGCAGATATATAAGGGAGGCTTCGCCCCCCTTAGATTTAAGAAGGGTTGCGCGATACTTTAGTCACTAATCTACCCATTTGCTACCTACCTACTACCTCTCACGTTGACTTGCCGCCCACAACCTGACACATCTATTCTTGACGAACCGAATGTACTTAGTAGGAGCCACCTCAAAGGGTTAGTTACTAAGATTCGAGTGTCTATTGACGGAATTGTCCAAAGAAATTCAATATGGAACTTATCATTTGGCCCTTTAAGAGTTTATCGAGCAAAAATAGAACCTCAGCTCCCAGTCCAGGTAGTCGGCGTTCGAGTCTGGTCAAACCATCTCTAAACTACCTGATCAGGATAAGCTATCCAGCTGCTAGCTTCTCCTCCTGTCCTATATCTTCTCTAGTTTCTCGGAAATAACCTGCTTTACTTCATCCAAACTAAAAGTCTCCAGTGGTAGCTCTGTCCATAGCACTTGTTGTGCGACACCCTGATAGATCATTGGCTCCGTTCCGTACAGAACTCTCCATCCCGCCGCTGTAGCAATTTCGAAGAACTCGGTCCTAGGTTTAGGGTGATAACACATCTCTAGAACGTAGCCTTTGTTCTTACTTGAAAGAAATGTGGTGATGATATTTCTTGCAATGATCTCCCCCTCTTCTCTTGGTGGGAAGTCGGGAACAGTACCAACGATTAGAACCGGTGCTTCTAGAGCCTCGGCCATTTCTACCGATGATACGTGGATGAGCTCACCCCCAAACCCCGTAGCCTTTAGAGATTTAATCACCTCTGTGACCTCGCTTTCAAGCCTGTTCACTAGATATATCTTGCTTATTCCAAGCCATTTCCACAGTGCGTATATAGCAGATCTACAAGCCCCGCCTCCCCCTATTACGAGGCCTGGTTTTCCCGTAGAGTGCTCTAGTACGTCTGGGAAGTTCTGCAGAAAGGATTCTCGCACACCAATGCAATCCGTATTGGTTCCGATATACCTAGGACTTCCATCAAATGCTCTGCGGATAAACACAGTATTGATGGCTCCAATGACCTTACCCTCCGCAGTAACTTCATCTACAACCGACATCATGGATACCTTATAAGGCATTGTAACAGCGCAACCAATTACATCAGGTGCTTTAAGTGAAGGGATAAATCTCGATGCATCTTGCGTTTCCATGGGTGAATACGTCCATGGTAGCGAGAGCCCCTCGAAAATTTTCGCGTGTAATAGAGGGGCTAACGAATTGTGGAGTGGATAGCCGAAGAGAAAGGTTCGCAGTGGTTTTGAACGGCTTGATTGATCAAGTGCGGATGCTCCATATTGGTAAGATGACTCAAGTATGCCCACTGGCTCATCGTTCTCTAGCATTTTGTAAAATTTGATGGGAGATATTGAGATGTTAAAGGCATCCAGTTCAGAGTAGTTCTTGTTAGATCTTAGTCTCCCCCCACGAAAAGACGGGGGTTATCGCGTTAGTGATAATTCGGCTAGCTCTAACCCAAAAAAAAAAAGTTGAAGACATCAAATGAGTGTAGGGAATAACTCCAGGGAATATGTACCTCTTATATGAAATAATTGTAGGGAATAACACACCCCCACTAACAATCTCGGTCAAGTATTGACAAAACATTCAGAACGACTAAAACCATCTCTACGGAATGATTGTTAAGGCCATGGAAAAGCATCGATTATGCAACGAAAGATGATTAAATCATATGTACTTCATATACCCATCGTTATTTCATATCCTTGGCTAGCGGAATAATGCTCAACACAATTAAGCGACCTAAACCCCCTCAACATTAGAATGCTCTGCGTCGTCCTTCAAGTCGGTGACATTCTCCGCAGCCCGCTGCGAAGCAATTATCTCGTCTGCTTTCTTTCGTTGAGTGATAGCGAGCCCTTTGACGTTGAATAATACGTTCATCTCTTCGAGGGACAGTCCTTTTGTCTCTGGCATAAAGAAGAAAACTACCAAAGCACCAACAATCAAGAAGCTTCCAAAGAAGAAAAATGTCCCATATGTGATATTCGTCATCATGTAAGGAGTGGAGTACACGATGATGAATTGGCCCAACCATTGTGTACATGTGGTGAAGAGAAGACACAAGGATCGAATTCCCGTTGGGAATATCTCGGCGCTTGCAGAGGTTAGCTAAATAAGACGAAAAAGAATAGATCTGTCGAACTCACCAGAACACCCAAGGGATACCATTCCAAGAAATAGCATAGAACACGGCGAATACGTAGACCATAACGATCGCGACGTAAGCGCCGCCGTCTTGCACAACGGTGTGCTCGAAAGAACCAGACACTTTCGAGTACGCGCCGAGATAGAACATCGCAATTATTGCGCCAGCCGAGCCGATCAAAATGGGGTTTCGGCGTCCTAGAGTGTCAATCCCGAAACATATGAATATCAAGGTTGTCATGGCCTTGACGATGCCAAAGACTCCCGTAGCCAAAAGACCGACACTGGTTCCCGAAAAGCCAATGGATTTGAAAATCTTCGGGGAGTAATAATTGAGCGCATTGATGCCGCTCAAGTTCTGTAGCATCATTATGCTCATCCCCAGGATTAATCGGACGCGGTTACCCCTCTGCATGATCTCTTTCAACTTCGCACTGAGAGGGCGTGTGGCACCCAGTTCAGATTCGTCATGAAGCTGCTGTTTGATAGAACCAACTTCCCACGCAATATATCCATCGTCTTGCGGTAGAGAGCGAATACTGCTAAGGATCTTTATCGCTTTATCCGTATCTCCAGTCTTAATGAGCCAACGTGGTGACTCGGGATGGAGCAGCATGAGTATGACGAGCAAGGTTCCCGGAGCAAGCTGCAGTGCAAAGGGGATTCTCCACTGGGCATCCGATGTACCGGGTATGTTTTCATTAACCCCATAGTTTATCCAAAATCCTATGATTTGGGAAAACTGGCAAACTGTCTCGAATATACCCACCAGGCGGCCTCGAATAGCGGGAGGCGAACATTCAGATATATACTGTGGAACGACAAGAGTTGCTGCCCCAACACCAAGGCCTATAAACAGTTCAGATTTGTTCTGAGGAGAACGAACGCCCTAATATAATAGATATCTTACCTGTTAGAGCTCGACCGGCATATATCATGCCTAGGGAGCCGGTAGAAGCCACCTGGATAATAGTGCCAACATTGAAGACCACTCCACAGGCAATGAGGGGGAACTTGCGGCCAAACTTTTCGGCCAAGAAGGACATGAAGATGGCGCCGAAGAAACATCCCGCTTGAAAGGTGCTGAGGATGTTGGCGGACAATGCGGCTGATTGCTCTGACGACGAAGTACCTAAGCCAAACTTGGACACGAAGGAGGGCAACGTTATCGCGCCACCTATAAAGCCAGAGTCATAACCGAACATTGCTGACCCCATTGAGGCACATATAGCTAAAGCGTATATCTTCCAGTTGTATACCTCATTCGGGGCCGGGAAGGCCGAGTCATCGTGGATGACTAATCGTAGAGTCATGATTGAAAGTTGGGATGTGGTGAAGCTTCTCTGGTAACCCTTTTTGACCCAAATCAGAGAAGAATAATCGAAGATGAGGTACGCAATCCATTATACTCTCCCAAAAAAAATACCCTACCCAAGAGAAACTTGGCAAAGGGTCGTTAGCCAGGGGCCTAGGTGTATGGTGCACGCAAAATTTTACGCATCTTAACCTCTAACGGAAGAATCTGGGGAAGCGATCCACACACGCTTCGCAACATGCGGAGTATACATGCAACTAGCTGTTACCGTCCCTGAAATGCGACCTACTTAGCTCTATAGTGACATCGCGCGATAATCTTGTAGCCAAACTAGCCTAGTGAAGCGGGAAATTACAGGACGTTTCCCGCGAGATGTAATGACATTACATACTAGTACGGTGTGAATGGTAGAAATCCGATAACTCCAGGTACCGCACTTAGCGCACCGTCTTTTGTGCTATCAAAGTTGCGCTGCAAATAGAATTACGTATAGGTGTGATACCGCCAATTTCATATTAGGTTAGTAAGCCATAGGGGAAACATACGGGGGGTAGGAACTGTTGCGCAACGGTGCCAAGGGCTGCCGTAACGGTTCCAAAAAATGGTATGGTTTTAAAGTTTAGCACATTTATAGATTTTAGCATGTTTAATACGTTTTTAATTTTTAAAATTTTTATATAACGTATTAAAAGTTTTAATAATATTTATAATATTAAAATTAAAAATTTAAAAAATTAAAAAATATAAACGTATTAAATTTAAAAAATATATTAAATTTAAAAAACGTATTAAATTTAAAAAATAAAATTATTATAACGGTTTATATTTTTTTAATATAATTTAATTTATAAATGTAATTTAATTTTTATAAAATTACATTTTTAATAATTAATAAAAATGGTTCGTGCGTTTTATTTAAAGTTATTTTAATTTTTACGATACCACGTATTTTTTTATAAATTTTTTTTTTTTTAAACTTAAATAATTTAATAATTAATTTAAAACGTTTTAAATTAAATTTTATTATATATAATTAATTAAATTATTATAATTATTATAAAATTAAATTTTATTTATAATTTTAATATAAAAATTTATATTATAAATTATATAATATTTAAATAATATAATAATATATTTTTAATTTTATAATAAAATAAAAACTTTATAATAATTTAAATTTAATTAAAATAAATAAATTAATTAATAAATAAATTTAAATAAATAAATAAATATATATAAATAAATAAATTATAAAAATAAAATATTATATTTTATTATAATTATATTAAATTTTAATATTATTCCGGTATAATTTTAATATATAAATAAAAAACTTAATAATTCTTTTATTTAAAATAGTTTTAAAATCTAACACCGTTACGCAATAATTCCTGCCCCACGTATATCTCCCTTATGGAAAACTTCGGATTACTAACAGTAGACCCACTTATATAGATCAACGCTTTCCCATTTAAAGGGTCAGGACATGACAAAGACAAACCAACTCATTGATATTTCCTTCCACCTTAAAAACACTTTCCGTGCTTGAAAAGCTGACTGCTATGTCTCCCACGCGAAGGGCGCTAAGTCCTAAGAGAAATCAGAACCCTTCAAAAGAGTTGAGATTGGATACCTACCTAGTTGAAAGGGTATTCGATAAGATTATTGCTGACAACAATGCATCTTTAACATACATCTTTACGTATGGCAGCTATTTGCAATAATTTGTGATTATTTTAGTCCGAGCACCAAGGCTCGTTCAAATTTTTCTCACAAAGAAACCCGATCTTTGTCTGGTTCTCTTTCAACATACTATTGAGGACATTTAATTAGTCCTCATAGACAATGGTCATATCCAGATAAATAATCTTCAGAACAGACTGTAAGGCATCTACATAGATTAAGGAAATACTACCTATCGAATAAGTTTTATATCATTTTTAAGAACAGTAAAAATATGAGCAACTCGACCGGGAGCGGTCTTGCGTATGAGGCCGATTACCTCAAGAAATATTTTGATACCGACCCGCGATTCGAATTTATCGGTCTCCTCGGCTCAGGACTTACAGGAGCAGCTTTTGGCGTAAAGTATAATGATATTTATAACCAGTCCTACAACGCTTTCATAGTAAAAAGAGCTCTTCAGAATGTGGCCGATCAAGACCTTTTGAGGAGCGAAGAGCAATATCTCAAGGTGAGCAACGTTAAGAAAAGAATCCACGGGGGAATCGAACCGAACTAGTTGCCAACTAACCTCATAAAATCATAGTCTCTACGAGGCGCTATGCATGTAGTGCAGGTTCTCGAGATTGAAAACAACCCTCTAGACAGGCCAGGCACTGCGGCCCTGCCCGCACTGACAGGCGCCTGGGTGATCCTAGAATATTTAGCGAACGGAAGTATTGACAAGTTTATTGAAAACGCATATTCACAAGGAAGAAGGAAGTTGCCGAATCGTTTACTTTGGAGATTTTGTTTATGCAGTAAGTTCCGATAACGATTAATTCCCAGATTTTCAAGGCTACTACTTGAGATAATATCCCGCATATATCCTACAAGGAAAATACTGTCAACTTTGAATATCCATTAAACTAACAAGCATTTAGTGATAAAAGCCTGTATAGCTATCACTGTAAGTAACGGTGTCGACTCACTTCATTTTATTATCATTTTACTGTTCTCAACTTATCCCCCCTTTTCTGGAGAGGGGGATGTTCACTTTCCCCTACCAAGGCACAATTATCCTAGGTCTTTCCGTGACGTCAGACAGATGCCCCGTAGGACAAGGTGTTGATTTTTTCTGGATTTCTCATCTAATTATATATTGAAAATAGTATCCCAGGAACATCAATACGAACACATTGGTCAGCGAGACGGTACCAGCAGGCGGCCGGGCGGAGGATGAAGGGATGACGCACAACGACATACACGTCGCAAATGGTTCGTATACATTCTATATTTGCTGAGAAAACACTGACAAAGACCTAGTCATGCTTGCGGATGTCCTGGAGGATATCGAGCATACGATCACACCTCGACTGAAATTGATTGATTTCGGTAGGGCAGCCGACTTCTCCCAAGCGAGACGTATCCCCTCTCCTAGCGACATATCATCCATAGGGGAGGTAGGTTTCCCGCCCATATACGTACTTATTCGATACCAAGATCAAATGCTAACGAAAATGACAGATAATTTTGTCGTTAATTCTACTCAACCCATTCCCTTTCGGCATGCACGCTTCGCCTTACAGTTTTCAGGCGGACGAAGGCAGCCCTGAAATATATACCCATGCCAGAGAGCTTACTGAGGGATGGGTTGAAGAGGGTCACGAGGACGTGCCGTGGCTCGACCCTGATTTAAGGGCGCTTGTCTGCAATTTAATGCGAGAAGATAGGGACAACATCCCGAGTTTGGCAGACCTAGACCGTATAGCAACAGCTGCGGTACGCGACAGGGACGCAGCATGGTATAATAATGAAGAATTTGAGCAAGATGATACAATTAAGAAGCTTTGGCATGATATCGTTCACTGGGATGGTGGTGACGATGGAGGCGGTGGGGATGATGGTGATCTGGAGGACTTGGACGACGAAGATGACGACGAAGATGACTATGAAGATGACTATGAAGATAGGTACCTTGATGATTTTTTGGGGGGCTTGCCTTAAGACCGTTGGAACTCATGTATTCCGAATGGATTAGACACATGCATCAATCTGGCTTTCGGTAGATATGTAGGTAAGCGAATAGCATCTGGTATGTAATTATCGCAAACCTTGTCGGCGCTTATTATGATTAACTGTAATTCCATTGTTACTTAATTACGTCCTGCTTTTATTGATTGTAAGATGCATGGTGAACGTTAAGTGGGGCAGTGGAAGCATCCATTAACCTAGGTAGATTTATTAATTGGTCCAATACTTTATCCATTTATTTTGTGTGATATGCAGAAGTGGATAAAATCCAATTGAAATCTCATTCCTCTTTCCTTTTTCTCTTTCTCTCAAAGCGCGACGACCAAAGGGCTGAGGAAGTCGGATGATATATCGAAAATGACATCATGTTGGCCTGATATAGCCCATTCTCCGTAGATGACAAAACAGGAGCTCGCGAATGGGCGATTTCCTAAATCTTCAGCCTCTCACCCCTGGCGTCGTCGACATCCCTGACGTCCCCGGTCAGCCCAGAACTGAGAAAGCGCCCGACGGGATGGTTCGATGGTCCCACACGATGTCATGCCATCATCGCTTCATTCCTGTAGCACAACTTGACTCTCTACATCATTGTACATCTATATAAAACTCAATTCTACAGTAGGTAATATTTCTAGTACGTTAGAATGCCAATTAAAAATTATCCATTATTAAATACCATCTCTTCAAGCTCAGCTTCAATACCTGGTAGGAGTTCATTTGGCACGTACAGTTAGACTCACGATGGGACCCTCAGCACGACCTAGACAACATATTGATCGAAAAGATCTATACACGAACCTCGAGGCCCGCATTCAATATCTTCACTCCTTCATCGACTTCAGTTCAAGTATGAAATCTGATTTATCAACCCAACAGGAAACCTTGAAGCTAACGGGATTCAAGATGACATCGAGGCTTTGATAACAGGGTCAAAATACATAAAGCAACTTATCCCTGCCATCGTCAACATTGTCTATCAAAAGTTGTTGCAATATGACATCACAGCACGGGCCCTGGAAACTAGGAGCACGAGCTACGACGGTCCCGTAGACGCGAACCTCAACGAGAATAGTCCCCAGATCCTCCATCGCAAGATGTTCCTACGGGCATACCTAGCCAAGCTGTGCTCCGACCCCAGCACTCTGGAGTTCTGGGAGTATCTAGATAAAGTCGGGTAAGCACCATTTGCATATGCGGACAAATTCTATGGCCTAATAACGAATATCCAGCATGATGCATACCGGACGTGGGCGCGAGCATCCCCTCCACGTGGAGTACGTACACATCGGCGCATGTCTCGCCTTCATCCAGGACACCCTTACAGAAGCACTTCTCTCGCATCCCCGGTTGCGGATGGATAAGAAGATCGCCTTGGTCAAGGCTATCGGCAAGGTCATCTGGGTTCAAAACGACCTATTCGCGAAGTGGTACGTCCGCGATGGCGACGAATATGCCGACGAAATGGAGAGGCAGCAGGTAGAGCCGGAGGGATTCCTGCATGGAAAGAAGATATTGGAAGATATCGAGGAAGGGCTCCCTTCGTCGCCAACGTGCCCCTTCTCGGGACTGTCTGCCGCAGAGAAAGCGGACGCCTGCACCGGATGCGGTGATAAGGAAGAGAAGGAGAACGGCTGCACATCATCGTTGCCCATCCGATCCCATATAGAAACAAGCTAAGGTTAAAACGATTTCGGGCTGAGGGATGTGAGAATCCTTTATACTAAGGACATAGCCCCCTTCGACGGGCCTTAGCGAGGCATAATGACAACCCCACAGTGCTAGGGTTGAAAGAATCTGTATTTACCTTATTCAAATATGTGAACTCTAGGGCATGGTTAGGAGCGGTGTTGGGGTATGATGCATTCAAAGGAGTTACTAGGGCCATGTGGGAGTTACATACAATGTACATTCACATTGGATTAGACACAAAAAAATGATATTAGGTAATCCATGCCTGGCCAAGACACATGCAGGTCATGGCTAGTGGGGTTATACCCTGAGTTTACGAAGGGATATTGTGGATCTAAACTTCTAGGCTCCTAGCAAAATTCCTTATCAAAAATTTCCTATCGCGGTAATCCCTTAAAGTCCGGCCTTAAAGTTGTGTGACACCGATAGCTCCAGGAAAGCGTGGCCGTTGATTGGGTGCAGGGCCAGGAATAATGGGTCGAAAAGGGTGATTAATAAGTCTTCAAACTGATTATTAAGGTGCTCCAACCAATCAGGACTAGGACAACAGGCTCTCAAGGTGGTCCGTTCGCGAGCAGTGGGTTTTGGACAAGATTCGAATTTTCAGAACGACGGTAGAAAACAGGTCTCGCGCACGGGCCACATTTGACAGGATTACCTAAGGTGCTGACTTAATCAATCCCCGGACCTGTTCTTCAATACAGGTCAGGTCAGGTTCAATACAGGTCAGGTTCCAGGGACCTGTTCTTCAATACAGGTCAAGTCAGGGACCTGACCTAGGGCAGGAACGGTTGCTACTTTATATAATCAGTCAACCCCTAAATCAAGGTGATTAAGTCAGGTGTAGGAGACTGGAAAGGCAGGAGGGCCTGGAAGGACTGGAGGGGTAGTCCCACTTATTGATTGGGTGCAGCCAATTAGCTTCAAGAACTTAGCTTTGCAGTGGTCAAAGCTGCAAGGGTGTTGATTCAATTGACAACTTACTTGAAGCTATTTTGGCAGTTGACCTAGTCCAGGGACAATTAGGTAATAGACTGTTTGAAGGGAAACGCCATACGCTTACCGACGATGCGAACTGCGAGGCGCGCGCGAAGCGCGCGGCTCGCAGTTCGCGTTTTGTTGACTTGTTTCAATTGAACGTTGCAAAGTTTAAAATGCGAGATCGAGGAATCGAACTATCGGCCCGGCTCGGCAAAACTCAGGGTTATTGTGCCACCAAGGGTGGCCTCTAGTCATGTGATTCGGCGTTATTCATGGAAGATCCAATTACCCCGGTTAAGAAAACTTTCGGTTAGTTTTTTTCATTTATTTTTTAATCGTTATTTATAATATTATTTTTAATAAATTTAAAAGTTTTTTATTCGGTTAATTAAATTATTTAAATTATTTTTTTAAATATAATTAATTTTTTTATTATATATAATAAATAATAATATATATATATATATAATATTATTTATTAAATTTATATAATATTATAACGTTATATTTATAATAAAAATATTATAATTAATATTATTTACGTAAATAATAATAAATATAAATTTTTAATATTTTTATTATTTTTTAATAAATTAATTACGTTAAATATTTATATTAATTAAAAATAATAAATAAATATTTTTTTATATAAATTATAATATAAAAATATAAAAAATTAATTAAATAATTATTTATTATTATTATTACGATATTTTTTTATTTTATTATATATTAAAAATAATAATAATTTTAAAAAAATTTTAAAAATTATTATTTAAATTATTTAAATAATTATTTTAAATATTAAATTATTTAATAATTTTAAATTATAATTTATATTTAATTAATTTTTA